CATCAATCTCTTCGTCTTGATACGTAGAATTAGATTTTCGATGGTGTCAAGTTCAAAAATCAATCCGGCGCCCCCTATTCAAGATAGCGCCCAAAAGGGGCGCCAGGGGGTTGAAAAATTATAAATTTTCCTACAGAGTCGACTGAGGTGTCGATTTATATGTAATTTTAGTCATAGAATCCGAATTTCACATTCAAAAAATCATCCGACCTAAGGGGGGGCCCCAATTCCAAGATGGCGGCCAAAATGGGCTCCTTGGCGGGAAAATGACCGTAGATGGCTGTATATACTGTATGACATATCCGCAGATAGGTTTTCTGGGTCGGGAATAACGAATATGAGGTCAGAAATTGTGCTAGACCCTTCGGGGAGGCTCAGGGTGCCCCCCAAAATGGCCGCCGGGGGTCAAAAAATTTTGAAATTCCTTAATACCCCGAGTGGGATGTCTATTCATAGGTAATTTTGGTCGTAGAACTCGAATTTCACATGGAAACGGTCATCTAGTCTAAGGGAGGGCCCCAAAATCCAATATGGCGGCCAAAATTGGCTTCATGATGGGAAAATGACCATAGGTAGCTTCATACGCCGTATGAAATAGATTCAAATAGGTTTTATANCGAAAAAACGAGTGGACATAAATTACTGGAAAAAACAGGTGCGCGGACAAAAAATCGTTGACGAAATGTCCCATAACCAGAAATAATGTAACATTTTCTTTGAGATAACTTACATTTTATTAATAAACTGTAAGTTTTTTCAAAGAAAATGTTACATTAGCATTTGGCCACACTCTACATACCAATAATAATCTCGGGTAACCGCATATAACTATGATTTTTTCCTTCTCTTTAAAAAAAAAAAAAAAAAAAAAAAAAAAAAAAAAAAAAAAAAAAAAAAAAANAAAAAAAAAAAAAAAAAAATTGTATCGAATAGTCACCGATCGCGAAGGGATTAACGATAATCTAAAAGTTCATTTTTGGAAAATGTCAGGGTTCAACTATCATGAAAAAAGTCTTAGTTTTATACAAAGAACACGTTCTTTCGTTACCGGTTGTTTAAGCTTTGAACACCCTGTATTTCGCTCTCTAAAAATCGGAGCATATCTCAGTATCATGCTCTTTCGACGCGACTGTAAAACTTGAAATTGGCCAATCGCAGCGATTTCCATCCGTCCGTTAATCGCTCATAGTGCGACCCCGTTTTATCGAGGGAAAACAACGTATGAGCTTTCGTCATTCGAAAGTCGCCGAGTTTTCCGTCGATGGAATAGAATATTTATTTTCAGAGAAGTCACGACCATATTTCTCGGATCGTGTCCTGCACTGTACGTAATATTTGTCCGTTGGGTTAGTTACAGAATCATGTTTTGATAGTTTGAGTTTAAAGACCAGCAAAACATTATGAAATCGGTTTACACACCCAGTGCCTACGTTCATTGCCAATCGAAAAACACGATGTATGACCTCACCCAACGCACTAGTGAATTTTATGGTTTATCCCACCTTCGTTTTTGCAATTGATGATACACACAACATTTGCAAACACGTTTGAAAAAAAAAGGCGGAAAATATCATGATACTTACTATTGCGATTGGTAACGCCATAAACCATGTTTATCGAAAGCCGTTATCTCCATTAATGAATGAGAAAATTTGGTGTTGAGTCCTTATTGAGTTTTGCCAATGCATAAGCTGAAATCATCAAAGCATGCCTCTGTGATCTGCGCAACTACGACCTAATTGCAAACAAAATCGCTTAGTGTACGTGAGATTTTGAAAAGGAAACATTTGATGTTAATTGCTAGTGAGATTAAATTTTGCAGTTAGGAACTACTATCTCTGGCTTTCCCAAAAGGATATATCTGTATTAAGAAACCAATGGAATTTATGTCGTTTCTAAAATGGACCAGAAATGGTGGTTCCTAATTGCAAAATCTAATCCAGTTCAAACATTGCGTAGTGGCCTGATCATCATCAAAACAATAAGTTTTCCCATTATGATGATCATTTTTAGTTTTGATAAGAATAACAAGTTCCTCCAGATTTTTCTTCCCTGTTAAAGCAAAAAATCATCATCCAGTTAGAAAACTTATTCTCAAGTTAATAGAGTTTTAGTGTGGGTGCTTTTTTCATTTAAATATTTTACGATACATATAATTTTCCTTGCGCTAGTAATCTATTTTCCCCCTGTGTTCTCCACTGGAAAAAAATACATTGGATCTAGAGTCCAGACTCTTAAAAACATTTACAAGAAAAAATACTCTTGATTCAATCAGATTTAAGCTTAAATCAAGAAACCAGCCTCTTAATTGGAGCGGATTTCCTTTTGATGTAAGCCTAAATCTGATTGAATCAAGAGTCCTTTTTCTTGTCAATGTTTTCAAGAGTCTGGACTCTAGGTCCAATGTGTTTTTTTTTTTCAGTGTGCGCTAGTGATCTATTTTCCTCCATATGTTCTCCGGCAGATTTATACGTTATTGGAAGAAAGTCGGCAACATCGGAATGACGATACGTCGTTCTTCCGAAGCCTGGTTCTGTGTTTACTAAGCCGACGAAGTCGAGCCGCGGACAAGCTATTAAATAAACGGGGCTGCGAGTGTGTTGGTGCGGTTTACGGCTGTATAATCTCCTGTGTGTGAGTGCGGACGTGTATTGGCGCGGCGCTCCGTCGAGGATGCACCGTGTTTGGATGCGGATGAGGGGGGTTGAATCATAACTATTTTGAATAAATATGGGGAGCGAGGGCGAGCGGCGCGCGGGGCGGTAATAAAGGGGTGTTGATTCGATTGGCGACAAATCGAGATTCGACGGCGGCCCGTTATTCAGTTCCCTGTTGTCACGCTCATTTCAATTTTAGTCTTTTCATTTCCATTTATGTGATTTTGTCCGGTGACCAGAGTTGGATTTATTTATGAAGATAAAGTAGAATCTCGATCATCCGACACGATTTTTCTCCTGCTGAAACGTGGTATTTTCGAACATGGAACCCGGTTTGGGGGAGGGGGTGATAAATTGAGTTTAAAGTATGCGGTTTTTTTTTTCTTTTCGGCAAACTCCAAATCGAAAAACGGCGTGGTTAAATTGTGATATATTCACGATGAGCACAACCGTGAATCGATCGACGAAAATGTGAATATTGAAACATTGTGTTTTAAAACGTGAGGACAAACAAATGTGTGGACAAAATGTTAATCGATCGACATCTCCGTGAATCGTGCGAAAAACCCGTAAATCGATCGACAAACCGGTCGATTGTTCCACAACTCCGTGCATCGGTCAATAAACCTGTGAATTGATCGACAAACTATGAATAGATCGGTTTATTTCGATCGAATAGACACCGGTTTTTTAATTATCTGTCTATCGAATCAGTGTCGATCGGTTCACGGGGGTCGATTCACGTTTTTATTTGTCACTCGATTCACGTCAATTGAATCCATACCCTTCTGTTTTTTCTAATTTAATGACGGACTGTTTTACGAGTGTGATACAAATTTAGCCAAGCTCTTACTTTCTGGTCACAGACAGAGCCTAAAATGACATTTCTTCAGTCTGTTCCAGTCGGCTACGATTATACGACATTTTAGTTTTTCGACATTATCGACCGCCAAATTGTGCTGGATGATCAAAAGTCTATTTTAAACAGATTCTTCACATTCTGTCACCATTCGAATGCTGGATTTTCAAAACCCAATCTATCCAATCGGTGATAAACGTGTGCTGGATGGAGTTGCTCAGTTGGCAATCATGTAGCGACCTCGTCACTCTACGTCTCGTGTCGTCAGCTGAGATCGCAAAATAAGCAAATTTGCTCTTTTCAATGAAAGTGTTTCGTATCATTTTGGCGCGTATGCAACTTGAATAAACATACGCCTTTTGTTGATATGAAATGAAATTATTTCTCATAGACTCCATCATTGTCGAACCTCTTCAGGATTTTTGGGACGCTCTGTAGGCCCATTCTTGCACGGAAAACTTTCATCCGTATCCGGACAGAGGCAAACCTGATGTTAATTGGGAGGGATGAAAAGAGATTTCCGTGGGAATTTTTTTTCCCATCAGGTACACGTGTCCATCATAGAAACGTAATCTGATGAAACTTACATAGTTTAAAACTGAATTCCCACGTGCTGTTAAACGAACGAAGCAGTGGCGTGGCGTGCTTTGCGATGACAACGTACGAGGTCCGAGTGTATACGAGTAGTGGCTGCTGAACCACTGGGTGACCACGCATGACTCGTGTTGTAGAGTTGTGCCGTTAATAGTCACTAAGACATTGCAGGCTGGGCATCGGTTGGTGGAGTCGCGAGATAAGGTTGCTCCATGAGAAAAGAACAAATGCAGTATTTCTTCTCTAGTTAGGAAGTGTTCTGCTATTGCAGTGGTCAACACTTTTTCTGGGTTGATAGCGACATCGGTACGCGCTTCAGGAGACAGGGAACTCAAAAGAGCGATCTTAGAGTCCAGGGTTTGTCTTGGGTCAGAACTGAAGCAGTACAGGATGAGATACTGAATCTGTTGTAGACGTAGGTTATACACTACAGTGAGTGATGCAGCAACGGTAGCGGGCGGAATCATACTGGTGAGGCGTGCAGCTGGTTTGACGTGGTGGGTGTTCACTGCGATGAATGATCCATCGTCGCTGCTGGTGACGGTTGCTTGACTTTTGATTAGTACGCATCATGTTCATCGATGCCAAGGTGTTTATAAACTTCTTCTTGTTGTAGAGACTGGATGACCTCGTCCTCATTTACCTGGATGTTTTCTTGCACTTTAAGTTTCCCTATCGATTGTTATGCCATTTAAACCTATGGTAAAAGATCGATATACAGGGTGTTCGCAGCGAACACCTTAATATCGATTCTTTACCATAGGTTTAAATGACAGACCAATCGATAAATCGCAATTCACGCCACGCCACTGGAACGAAGTGCGACCAATTAATCAAGCTGATATATTACGAGTGCACATTATCAGATAATCAGTTAAAATGATGTGGCAGTGAGCCTTATGAAGCATTTTTTATTTTTTTATTCAGTCCTTTTTCCTGAAGTAAGAGCATCATATTTATAAATTTTTTTAGATCCTTTATTAAGCCATACGAGGCCATCAAACTTCTTTTCGGTGACATTCTGAATCGTGTTCCTGTATACTTCAACACGTGGAGAAGCAATTTTCTCCCTGTAATCAATTGCGAATCTCTCGCTTGACCCAAATTCCTAATATTCTCACTGTGTTTACCCTCCGAGTAGTGATCATTGTGACAGGATGAGGATACCAATGTTCATCGGTTTCTTCACAGTGTTTCAAATTATGGGACTTCTTTTTTAGTAAGTATTTTGAACTTGCAGTATGAAAATTGCACATTACCTCTAATAATAAATTTGTCAGTGAAATAATAATTTAAAGTTTTTAACATCAAAATCTATCGGCAAAGGAAAGTGAAGATATTGTCAGAACAAAGTTGAAATCGATTGTGTATACTTGGCAAACGTTTCGTAGTTGTCGCACGGAGAAAAAAAACTCGTGCGTGGGACCCGAAGTTTAGGTCATATGGATCTCTGAAGTTTTCAGATTGAGCATCTGAACACTTTAGGTCTAGCTGCCGAAGTTCGGATCATACATCTGAAACTTCAGTTCTTACATCTGAAGTACTTCGGTTCTCACATCCGAAGTACTTCGGTTCTCACATCCGAAGTACTTCGGTTCTCACATCCGAAGTACTTCGGTTCTCACATCTGAAGTACTTCAGATGTAAGAACTGAAGTTTCAGATGTATGATCCGAACTTCGGCAGCTAGACCTAAAGTGTTCAGATGCTCAATCTGAAAACTTCAGAGATCCATATGACCTAAACTTCGGGTCCCACGCACGAGTTTTCTTTCTCCGTGCGTAACGTTTCGCCCAAAGTGAAACTCAACCTTCAGACAAGTGAATTTCAAGACAGATCGCAGAAGGCGGTTTTTCTCCTACTTCATTTTCTTATTTTACCGGAAACGAAATCCGAAAGTCTGATTCAGTTCAGATCATTTCCTAAATCCACAGTTCCATGTGCGACGCATCATCTGAAAATTCTGATTTATTTTTAAAAATTCCCCCTAGTGTGCGTAGCGGATTAACCACCCAAAAGCAATAAAAATTAGTGTTGAAACAACTGAGTGTTCTTGAACAGGAGCTTTTTTATAGTCTGTTTTAACAGTTAACGCATCTAATTTGTTCTTCTTTCAGTTTGGGACTGAAAAAGGTTCACGAACAGGATTAATCAGTCAGTTATTGCGGCAAACTAGAAGATCACCATGGATCAATCATTTTTAATGGTTTTATGTGAATTCACGCAGCTCTTTCCAAATAAGTATGCACCTCTTTGTCTCCGAGAATCCTTCAACGGGGCGATAACATAATAGGAAGGAATCAACAACAACAACAAAACTATGTAAGAGCCTATTTTCATAATGCGTGGCCATCAGATAATTAGAAGAATCAATCAAAATTAGCTCCCATCATCAAATAAGTAGAACTAAATTATCGTATAAACCATCATCAATGTTCTCATTCATTTTGTCCCATCACATAACTACCTTAAAAGTAGCTGGTTCGTTGCCTTGAAATTAGCTTCTCCCGCGGCCGACCAACTCATGAGCCGTGTTCACAACGCTCTAGATACATGCCCACGGCTCATGGGTGCCGCACTTCGTTGGCTCATAGTTCCGTTTGCTGAACTGGAGAAGCGGGATTTCATGTTCTGTCAAAACGGAACTATGTGCACAATATATTAGCCGTGGGCATGTATCTAGAGCCTTGTGGACAGGGCTCATGAGTTAGTCGGCCGTGGGAGATGCTCGACGACGACTTCGTCAATGTCGCTTTATATTTCCCATTCAATCTTATGGCCCTAGCACTAACGAGCACGAGCAGCGTCTTTTCCCCCACACGTCTCTTTGATAGAAATAAGTCCAAAGAAAGCTTCTTAACAAATTTTAAGTATGAAAAGGTCCAAAACTCTAATTGCAGAAAAATTCTTGATCAAATGTCATTTTCCAATCGTACAATGCTTGATCTGGCCGTAAGATATCAAACTAAAGCTTCTGATAAGGAATTGTATGCGTGAAACTCTTTTTTAGTCTTCAAATGACCAAAATCCGCCAACAACAGGTTTAAAACACTGATTGCATAAATGCGTATCACGTTATAAAACTTCAATTCCTAGTGTTGAAAACGCAAATCTAGGCATTTCTGCCGTATGTTCCTACAGTTCGAGAAAAAATTCAAAATACCGATGGAGTCTGAAAGAACATATTTTTCTTGCTACCGTCAAGAAATATTACTCTTCTACTGACAATGAAGAGGAATGTAGACAGTTTTTTACTCTCCTGGAAAATTGTGTTTTCCGAGATACGCGCTTCTGCACTTTCACCATCGATAGAACTTAGTTCTGCAGTCTACCCGTTCAGCTTATGGAGACATCGCAGAACTTAGTTACTTCCATGAATACTTACGTAGAGAGGACCCGCCAATATTCAATGCGCCCCGCAACTTTTCTCCGCTGAATTTTAGCTGGTCGTATTTTAGGACCGCGATCAAATCCCGCTCCGCGAAAAGTTTCCCACCTGCTTCACCAGACGTCGCGTCTCAGGAGCACAAGGTCGCGAAGGTCGTAAATCGTGGGTGAAACGCTCGGGCGCACCAAAAAGTGGCAAATGAATTCGGGGGCGGCCCGGAAGGGAGCCCGGGGGCGGGGAAGTACACGAATAATGGGTTTCCGATCCCGATTTCGTCAGGAGTGAGTGACTGGAGTGCTACGTGCACCGTGCATACCTCCAGCACTGCCGTTGTGCCAGGGAATTTTTTATCTTTGCAGTATGAGTAAATGGGGGTAGAATGATTTTTCGGGGCGGTTTGGTGGCGTTTTTCCAGCCCCGAAAAGTCCTACCGACGAAGTGCAGGGGAGCAATATAAGTTGGAGTCGAGCCACTTGCCGCTTGGTCCGCATGAGGGACGGCTTGTGGAACGGCGGGGTGAGCGGTTTGGAATTTTTGCATTCGGAAGAAAAGAGCGTATCAATGGCGAAAGTGCTAAACCTCTTATCTTCGTTTGCGACGTTGCAGACTTCTTTTTCTTTGAAAAAAGAATATAGAAGCAGAAATTTTACAGCTTTGCAATGAAGATACGTGGTTTAGCACTTCAGTCATCGATATTTTTGGCCGGAGCGTCATTTCGTTCGAATTAGTTAAGGTGAATCCACGATTTGGTCACCACGTCGCGCTGCTCAGAATAGCCGTATATATTTGCCAAAATAATATAAACCGTAATACTTATTCAAGATTGGGGATCCAGGGGATATAGCAACATACTTGAGGAACTCTCAGTAAAAAAAATCTTCCCAAATTTCCCAAAATTAAAGTCGTAACTACGGCGGAAAGTAATTCCTCTTGCGGCAATGGGAGAGAGAGAGACAGAACATGAGGGATTCGGTTGCGCGCTCTACCGCCGCGGCTGAGCTGAAAGTTTCAGCCGTACTTTCTCTGCGCTTGTAACTCCAATTGCCAATATTTTTGGCTCAAAAAATCAAGCAAAAAATAATCTATATCTTGTGGATCTGCTTTTTGTAATTTGAACAATATTATTTCAGTAATCGTTGAAGGAAAGTGAGATTCTCAGTGGTGACTGGTGGCGCTATCTCTTATCTAGAATTATCCCTAATGGAACCCTGGCTTCACCTTAAGGTTAATTTCTTCAATAACTCACAAAAAATAGAGATGCAGATGTAGGATTCCATGCATGTTTCCTCACCTGAAACAGAAGAGAGAGAACATGTTGCTTAGAACAGAGGGACATTAATATTTATACAACTTAATTTAATATCGAAAAAATGTTTAATATAAATTAATTGCATCTTAATTGGACGTATTTATGCTAAAAGGAACTATGTTCCCAGGGTTTGCGTGTAACATAGTTCCTTTTAGCATAAATACGTCCAATGGAGATGTTGCATGTGTGAGGGATTTGCGATTTGACTGTTGATTCTTACGCAAAAGTTTTCGAGAAACACGATGGTGCCACTGGTTTTCTCTGAAATCATCTCCCAAGCTCAAAAAAAGCTCTCAAAGTGAAACAAAAATGGAGAGGATATCCCACCATACCCTGAGAGTCCACCTCTACATCAAAACAAACTCTCCATGCAAAAATAGGGAGCAAAGACATTGACAGGGCTGCCACTTTATTTGGGGACTCCAAAACTGAAAACACGGCAATCCTGCTGATGTACTTGCTCCCTATCTTTGCATGGAGAGTTCGTCTTGATGTAGAGGTGGACTCTCAGGATAGCGCGGGATATCCCCCTCCATTTTGGCCTCAACTTCAGAGCTTTTTTTGAGCTTGGGAAATGATTTTAGAGAAAACCAGTGGCACCATCGTGTTTCTAGCGAACTTTTACATAGGAATCAATAGTCAAATTGCAAATTCCTCACACATGCAACATCTCCATAGGGAGGGATGAGAAGGGATTTCCGTGGGAATTTTTTTTTCCAATCGGGTACACGTGTATTTCATAGAAACGCCGTTATCTGATAAAACTTACACAGTTTAAAACTATGAATTCCCATGTGCTATTAAACGAACCAAGAGCAACGAATTAATCAAGCTGATATTGCGAGTGCATATTATCAGATAATCAGTTAAGGTGATGTGTCAAGTGGGCATGGAGAGTTTGTTTTGATGTAGAGGTGGACTCTCAGGGTATGGTGGGATATCCTCTCCATTTTGGTTTCACTTTGAGAGCTTTTTTTGAGCTTGGGAGATGATTGCAGAGAAAACCAGTGGCACCATCGTGTTTCTCGCGAACATTTACGTAAGAATCAATGGTCAAATTGCAAATCCCTCACACATGCAACATCTCCATTAAGAAGCAGAGCGGCAACGGCTGAGCCGAACCGCGACGCGACGTTAGAGCTCGTAACTCGCAGGGCCGGATCGGGCCGATCGCCGCGCCGGGGAAAAGTTTGTCGCACGGAAGACGCGCGCATTGTTAACGGCATGCACCCAATCCAATCATGCTTATTTATAAATATAGATTAGAAAGAAACCCGGGACCCAACTTTCTCCCCCGAAGTGTTCCCCGAGACGGAGGGAAAAAACGGAATAAAGTGCGCTAACGTGATTTTCGAGTCCCCCCGCGGCATCACGTGACCTCGCTCGCATGCATTCGCTCCTCGATAAAGCACCGTCGCACACTGGATCGAGTCAACTAGAAAGGATATTTGATGCTATTGATTGCGCATCTGATTAATTGGGACTAGTCAGTCATTAAATTAACGAAATTTGGAAGAAATAAAACTTTGCGTTTGGCTTACGTACGGCAGCGCTTGAACCCCCCTCCCCCCGCAAGGCAC